ATATATAGACACACACACACACATACACACACACACACATACACACACACACACACACACAACACACACACACACACACACACACATATATATATATATATATATATATATATATATATATATATATATATATATTCATATGTATATAGATATGTATATATGTGTCAGGGTTCGTTTGTGGGGTATGATCAGATCGCCCAGGTTAATAGTGAAATACCAGAGGAAACATACGGGAGGAATATATTGAAGCACTTTTTACACAATATATATTACACAGAGGAGGCAGGAGAATAACAGGCACAGGGGAAGTGGAGCAGGCGAGGTCACATGGCGAAAGAGGTCGTCATTAACACATCACAGAAGCACTGAAGAGTCTTTCCAGGAACACTGACGAATTGCCGAAAATCGCGCATTTATGCAAAATCGTCGGTGTTTAGGTGCGACACCCTCGTTCCTCACAATTCAAAGTGACCAATCATGGTTGACCTCAGCCCGCCTCTCCGGCTCAGGTAAACATTGCCGAAGGTCCTGAGAGACGAAACTTACAACCACAGTGTAGCAGCTCAGGAAACCGACAGCGACCGATCAAGGCGATCTCGCAGTTGTGACATATCTCCAATCTTTCTTAAAATAATCTTCCAGATTTGAAGATTATTTTCCAGAACCACACCTACGAGCTGTCTACCCGACGCTCCAGGGTCCCCCTAGAGCAAGGTTGTGGCCCTAGGGCCTGCCCTTCCGTCATCCGCTCTCCTCCGTCGATCCCGGTCCTGCCGTCCGTCAGTCTTGCTGCACCACTCGGGTTCTAGTGTGTCTTTGGGCGAAAGCCCATCAGTGGTGTCCTCGGCAGGTACTTCATCCTCCTGGTCCTCGAGTGGCAGCTCCTCCTGTGGGTCTTCGGCCAGCAGCTCATCTTGCGGGTCTTCGGCCGGCAACTCCTTCTGCGGGTCCTCGACCAGCAGCTCATCCTCCGGGTCCTCGACCGGCAGCTCCTCCGGCGCGACCTCCTGATCCTTGGGCGGGCACTCTACGGTAGCTGGTAGTTCAGGTGGACAGCTCCTATCCACCAACTCCACACGCCAGTCGGTGGCCAGCCTACGCGCCGCTGTAGTCGCTTTCTTCGACGTGTGGGTTCCCGTCGAGCTTTCTCGAGCGCGCCCGCTTCTTCCGACGGCCGCTCCCCAGGAGACTCCTCTGCTTCTCTCCGCCGTGCCGACAAGCTTCCCGCTGCGAAGGGTCCTTTGGCAGACGGATCGAGTCCATGGGCGACGGTACCGTGGGCAGTCTCACTCCCGGGAGTTTGTGAGTTTCTTGGACGACTCCAGGGCAAGCCCAAAGGAAGGGACCCACTTTCCACAAGCGCCTGTTCAGCCTTCTGATGTTTTTCCTCCTCGCGGCGCCTGCAACGATCCTCTTCCAACTGACGCCTCTGCTCCTCCCGAGTGCCTGTGGAAGCTCGTCCTCCACAAAAGGTAAACCTCAGGAAGCGAACCCAAAATCCAAAATTCCCATTCCCTCACCTCGGGGCTCCAAGCTCACGTCTACCAGCGCCGCCAAATCGGAGCAAGCTTTTAACTCCCTCCCTGCAAGTCGGAAAGAAGTGACGACCCCTGATATGGAGCAAGCAACTGCAGGGCCTTCCGGGGTCCAGGCAATGTCCTCGCCCCCCTCACCGGTCCCAGCCTCGAGGTCCCCGACTCCTTCCCCCACTCCTAGGTTACCTCAGTCACCTCAGCGCCCTACACTCAGTCCTCAGATGGAGAGAAGCGGTATCATCACCATCGACACGAGTAAACACTCAAGTTGGGACTATATCTAAATGTCCGAGGCACTTGGTATTCGAAGCTCCTAGTAAGGGGTCCGGGTCCTGTGTCGTCTAGAATCCATTCGGTGCTCTTATTAGGATTGGGATATCAGCATCTTCTGCACTCAGTCTATCAGGTCTTGTTTTTACATCTTGCAGGATTAAGATGCATGTATCGGGGGTTAGGGGAATCCTTAAATAATGATAATGCCGTTTTAGCCTATTGTAGTAAATAGACTCCATGTATACCAGTAAGAGAAAGAATCAGGGTAGTTTCAGATCAACAAATCTAGTATTCTCAAGAAATTCTATCTGTATGGCGAGACCTCTGGATGAGATTTACCTAGTGCAAAAGAAACCACAGCAAATTGTATCTCATTGTTTCTTTATATTTGTGCATAGGTAGAAAGAGTAACCGATATCTTAACCATATTTATAGTTTTGATTTAGAAAGATAATCCCTGTGAAATAAAATGTTTCTAATAATAGTCAGTTTTATGAAAAAATGCAACCAATGTAAAGGAGGCTCACATTTTTATAAATGGAATGAAACATTTGAGTGTGCAGTTGACATCAGTAAACAGAGACTTAGACTGACATATGACATCAGAAATAAATAAATGGCAATAATCAATGTACGTAGAGGGTATCCTGTAAAAGATATTCATAATAAAATATAAAACTCGAAATCATATTTTACTCGGCTACACGTAGTATATCCTTACATAACTATCTATCTATTTATATATATAAATATATATTGTTAAGCCCAAACGACCACAGGATTGCACGCTAATCTCAGCAGCTGTTAAAGGTCCGAGTGTGCATGTTGGGGCGAGCAATCCTAGTCCCCTTGTATAAGGTACTGTCAGGTCGAATCAAACGATGGTCACTTCACCAAGGGGTTTATTAATCCTCAGGAAATACGGCACATCAAACACAAGGCGAAAATTCCAGTCTTAAGCGGGGAAACGAGAGGAGGGGTTGCGAGCACGTCTTCCTCAGACGAGAGTCCCGGGCGATCTCACTCTGTGACACAAGACTTCACCCTCCACACCAAAACACCCGCGAAATTCAAAATCATTAACAGAGGGTGGTGCAGCAATATGTATATATATATATATTTATATATATATATAATATATATATATATATATATACACACACACACACACACACACACACATATGCATACATATATATATATATATATATAATATATATATATATATATATATATATATATATATATGTATATAGACAACACACACACACATACACACACACACATACACACACACACACACACAACACACACACACACACACACACATATATATATATATATATATATATATATATATATATATATATATATATATTCATATGTATATAGATATGTATATATGTGTCAGGGTTCGTTTGTGGGGTATGATCAGATCGCCCAGGTTAATAGTGAAATACCAGAGGAAACATACGGGAGGAATATATTGAAGCACTTTTTACACAATATATATTACACAGAGGAGGCAGGAGAATAACAGGCACAGGGGAAGTGGAGCAGGCGAGGTCACATGGCGAAAGAGGTCGTCATTAACACATCACAGAAGCACTGAAGAGTCTTTCCAGGAACACTGACGAATTGCCGAAAATCGCGCATTTTATGCAAAATCGTCGGTGTTTAGGTGCGACACCCTCGTTCCTCACAATTCAAAGTGACCAATCATGGTTGACCTCAGCCCGCCTCTCCGGCTCAGGTAAACATTGCCGAAGGTCCTGAGCGACGAAACTTACAACCAAAGTGTAGCTGCTCAGGAAACCGACAGCGACCGATCAAGGCGATCTCGCAGTTGTGACATATCTCCAATCTTTCTTAAAATAATCTTCCAGATTTGAAGATTATTTTCCAGAACCACACCTACGAGCTGTCTACCCGACGCTCCAGGGTCCCCCTAGAGCAAGGTTGTGGCCTAGGGCCTGCCTTCCGTCATCCGCTCTCCTCCGTCGATCCCGGTCCTGCCGTCCGTCAGTCTTGCTGCACCACCTCGGGTTCTCTAGTGTGTCTTTGGGCGAAAGCCCATCAGTGGTGTCCTCGGCAGGTACTTCATCCTCCTGGTCCTCGAGTGGCAGCTCCTCCTGTGGGTCTTCGGCCAGCAGCTCATCTTGCGGGTCTTCGGCCGGCAACTCCTTCTGCGGGTCCTCGACCAGCAGCTCATCCTCCGGGTCCTCGACCGGCAGCTCCTCCGGCGCGACCTCCTGATCCTTGGGTGGGCACTCTACGGTAGCTGGTAGTTCAGGTGGACAGCTCCCATCCACCAACTCCACACGCCAGTCGGTGGCCAGCCTACGCGCCGCTGTAGTCGCTTTCTTCGGCGTGTGGGTTCCCGTCGAGCTTTCTCGAGCGCGCCCGCTTCTTCCGACGGCCGCTCCCCAGGAGACTCCTCTGCTTCTCTCCGCCGTGCCGACAAGCTTCCCGCTGCGAAGGGTCCTTTGGCAGATGGATTGAGTCCACGGGCGACGGTACCGTGGGCAGTCTCACTCCCGGGAGTTTGTGAGTTTCTTGGACGACTCCAGGGCAAGCCCAAAGGAAGGGACCCACCTTCCTCGAAGCAGCCTGTTCAGCCTTCTGATGTTTTTCCTCCTCGCGGCGCCTGCAACGATCCTCTTCCAACTGACGCCTCTGCTCCTCCCGCTGACGAAAATACTCCTCCCTTCTCTGATAATACAGAGCCACCTGCTCAGTCCTAATCTTCTCCTGCTACTCGATATAGTGTAAAAAGGCCATCCCCTTGAGGCCCAGCCTTTCGCCTTCCTCCACATAGTTCCTCATGGTGCTGTCTTACTGACCGTCTGATCCTGGCAAGGTCGGCCAATGTCGGGATTCGTTTGTGGGGTATGATCAGATCGGCCAGGTTAATAGTGAAACACCAGAGGAAACATGCGGGAGGAATATATCAAAGCACTTTTTACACAATAAATTGAGCATTTTATGTAAAATCGTCGGTGTTTAGGTGCGACACCCTCGTTCCTCACAATTCGAAGTGACCAATCACGGTTGAACTCAGCCCACCTCTCCGGCTCACCCCGAAGGTCCTGAGCGACAAAACTTACAACCGCAGTGTAGCGGCATATATATAAGGATATGTGTAACACACACAGCACAGGTCCTCTCCCCTGTGGTGTACAGAGAGAGGTCACCCAATTGGCGAGACATTATTGTCACCCACTTGGCGTGATCCTCGTGAGCAAAAGTCGTCAGACTTTGAACTTGACTGATACTTTTTGACAACAGACTACTCAGAGAGCTCCGCTAATTTATCGTGGTTCGCCGCGACAATTGGCCAGGCCTTCTCTTGTATTAAGTGCCCCATTACCGCTCCCTTGGTGAGCGAGGTTGCAAACCTGGTCTGGACCCTCTGGTCCACGCACCAAGGGCGACTTTTCGGTGCCTGACCCTTGCCCCCTCCTTTTGACTTCCTGGTGCAGCCTGGGCCTGCGGGAAACGCCGATTTCCAACATTCGCCTGGGCTGCGGTGACGTGATCACACCCCCCTTGTAGCAGGATTGGGGTGCAGAGCGTTTACCACACCAAAACTCCGAGTTCAGCCCACCCAGGGGGATCTCCTGTCCTGTGGTGCTGAAGGGTCGAGTGTAGGAAACAGAGCTTTTTTGAGGCCCTTCATAAGACCTCACCCTGAGAGCAGGTATAAGGATAGTCCCCGAAAGGGGACCAATCTGTTTATACTCTCTCCATGACCACAAATGAATCAGACCATGGCAGTCACCCTGGAGCCTTTCAAGGTGCAGGGGGCGAAAGAAAAACAAAAGCAGGCCGAAGTGTCCGGCCTACAGAACCGAGCAAGGACAAGACAGAAACACACAAAGTCTGTCCATGCACACCAGACTGAGGAAACCTGAACTCTCCCAGAATCCCTCAGTCAAGAAGGGGCTCCAGCTGAACCAGCCAAACCAGCTGCCCCACTTCTAAAGGCCTTAAACCCTGCAAAGGGGAGGCGTGAAGCGACGAAGGGTGGAAACTGACTCTGAAGAAGAGGCAGAGCACACCCCAAGTCGACTAACGCGGTTTAAGGTACCAAAAAAACCTGAAGACTTCGACAATGCATACCAACTGGTAAGGGCATTGGAGAAGGAAAGGAATGTCAGACTTTCAATCCGAATCTGTAGAGATGAGGGCATGATCATTGCCCCCAAAGACAAAGCCACCGAACTTCCTGCAGGAAATCAAGGTGCTAAAAGATGGGAGAAAGTGTGTATCTCACCACTGACCTCCCAAGAGAAAAAGACCAAGATGGTGCTACTTGGTTTCCACTAGGGTTCGACGTGGAGGTGATCACGTCTCTCCCACAAGTGGTGGAGGCTTCCCGCATGACCAAAGGGAAGTCTCCAACCAGGCAAGTCCTGGTTATCCTCAAGGGAGCCCCAATCACCACCCTTGATCTGGGTAACTGGGGCTCATACAAGCTCAGGACATATGTGCCAGAGCCCTTGAGGTGCTTCACGTGCCAGAAATTTGGGCATCACCAGGCCAACTGCAAGGCCAAAGCCAAATGTGGTGTATGCAGTGAGGCACACAAAGATGGCCAGAAGGACACAACAGCCAAGTGTCCAAACTGTGCCAAGAAACATCATGCCTGGAGCCTGTCTTAGGAAAGCAGGAGCAGCCAAAAAGCGTCCTGACTTTGTCCCTGCGCCCCAGGCACCTACGTCTGGGGCAAAATAAAAGAAAAGACTCCCCGACCTCCTAAGAGGAAGGAGTCGCCCCACAGAAAATGGATACCTCTAACAGAGAGGAATTCCCCAAGCTTGCTAGTGGCAAAACACAAAAAAGAACCAAAGGGAAAAAGGTTCAAAGACCACAGCAATGGTCCCCCCAGTAGATGATAATCTTTTCTTTGACGAGAAAGATATGACTCTCCTGTTGAGTGCTGTAGTTTCTGCACTGAGGAGGCGGAGAAAGCAGTGCAGGTCGCCATGACGGCTATGACCCAAACTGTGGCAGCTCTGAAGGGAAGGAAGCTAGAAGCCTCCAAACCGAAAACGAGCAGCACTCCCCTCCCTAAATCCTCGGATGGCAGGCTAGCTTCGGGAGAAGCATTACGTGAAACCCCAGCTAGTCTGTCAGGACAGGCTGAAACTGTGCAGCAGAAGCCCCCACTGCAGGCCGAGTCTGTACAGCCAAAGTCTCGTCCCTGACCCGAGGTGGCACTTCCAACCTAGGCTCTACACCCTCGGTAGACCTTAACCGGAGTGTCTGACTTAGAGGAAGTTGTACAATCCTCAATCAACGAGGATCTGTATTTATCTGATGCCACCAGCACTGGGGCATCTGAAGCTGAAGCAAGTGACTCTGAGTAACCATCATGGCACACAATCTAAGCATACTGCAGTGGAATATCTGTAGCTATAAAAGCAAGAACTCCTTTCTCCAGTCATTGTGCGAGCAAGGAGCATTGACGTCGTCATGCTCCAGGAGACACTAACATGGGATCCGTGTGCTTCTCTCAGGATATCATGCCTTCACCACTCCAAACCTGGATGGTGCTAGAGGCCTGATGACCCTGGTAAAAGAAGCTATCCCTGCTCCTTAATAGCCAACCCCGCACTGTGGAGATGGTGTTGAATCTCTTGCTGTTGAGATTCAGCTACCTGGGGGCCTATAA